TCCCTCCGTTCTAATATAAGGCGTTTTGATTTTTCAACGTACATAGATTTTACTATGTATTTAGATATATACTATGTCTAGATACATAATAAAAAAAATATATCTAGAAAAGTTAAAATACTGTATAATTTGGAATGAATAGAGTATATAGCACACGTCACCTCAAAGTTTGGTGCGAAACGGTTTTCACTCACGCTGCCTATTTTTTCACCTGTGGTACCCAAAAGTAAGCGCCAATGCAGTTATGTTTGGGAGCCCAGGCCAAAGAACTACAAACTGAAAAAATCATTTCTAAGGGCAGTCTATATACATTTCTACTGGTGTTCACTAGGAGCAACTCCACCAATTGCCCCCTCTATTTTTGAGGCTCTGTTTTCTGATGCCAACTCCAACAGTAGCCCTCAAATTAGGGCCTCTATTCTCCTATGACTCTCATGTCAACCATGCATATTACCCTTATTCTTCTTATTCCTTTTATCTCCCACGGAGGAGAGGAGTCCATGTCCCGGGGGGACCACGTCAGTGGTGGCGCCCGTGCCTGTGCTGGGGAATCGATGGAGAAGGCCATGTGGTGTGGTGGCTCCCGTGCGCGTGTTGGGGACCATCAGTGGAGGATGTTGCGCTGTGTAGAAGGGCTGGGCTGGTGCCATGTTGGGCGAGGGCGACGCCGAGGGAGGGATAGCGGTAGAGGAGGGGCACCGGGGACGGGCACCACTAGGGGCAGGCATGTTATTAGAGGGCCGTGCCGGCGTTGAAGAGCTGCGCTGATGTTGAGGGAGGAACCGCCAAGGACCACAACTGCCGGATATGAAGGGCGAGGAGGAGGGTGATGACAAGAGGGGGGAGAGGGTGCTGGCTTGACCGGGAGAGAAACGACCACCTATCGAAAAGTAGGGATCCCCTCCAGAGCTCACAAGAATAAGGGTTTGACCGGGGGGGTTGAGGGCTTGAGTAGGGCCCTGTTGGTCTTTCAATGATGTCAATCCTCTAAAGTTGGTGTGCGGAGATGGTCGGTTGATGTATGGAAGATGAGGAGACCATTTCCTTGGTCTAGAAGATCCGTAGTGAAGACATCTCTAAGATGGCCGAGAGAGTTTGTCGACAATCGGTAATCCTTCATGGGTTATGAGACACTAGTCTTGGTTGTTGGTGGCCTTTGTGGCCAACCCAACACCATGACCGGGTAATACTTGGTGACAAAGAGCACACTACTACTACCTAGATTTTCAGAGGCGGTCAAAAAGGGCTAACGCAGGCGGGCACGACGTCCACCTCCGTTCAGTCGCCAGCGTTAATGGAGCATATATTTTGTGGAGCTCCAACGTGGACTAGGGTTGCGATCCAAAGCTTCTCCCTAGTACATTTGTAGAGCCTGGGACATTGCCACTAAAAAGGGGCACATCAATTGTGTTGTAGGTTTAATCTATTTTAAATATTATTTATTAATTTTCTAAAAGATGTAAAAATACATATCACACTCACACGCCATTGAAATTGGGGGATAGCAACATATCATCTTGGCAAAATTTGATACGGGACACTGAAAGTGAGCCCCCTTTTCATCAAAAATGGAGCAATTTGCTGGTGGATACTTTACTTCTCGTCAAATTTGTTGGTGGACACTTGAAATGTCCTAAATGGCTAGAGGGGGATGAATGGCCTTATAAAAATTCCACAACAACAATAAAACAAGGTGGTTAGATAACTAAAAGACGTAAAGCAAGTTTTGCGCTAGCACTACAAGAAAGTTGCAAGCCACCTATTCACAAGTTTAGTGAGCTATACTTTTCTAGGCACTCAAAAGCTAACTCTAACAACTACTACTAGAGAACTAGCAAAAAGGCTAATTACAACTAGCAAGATAAACTATCACTACACAAGATATATATCAATGTAAATACAATAGAGTGATAGAGATGGTTATACCGCCGTGGCAAGTGGTCAATCAATGAATACCAATAAGAAATCCAAGGGAGACAATGGACACACGATTTTTCTCCTGAGGTTCACTTGCTTGCCGGCAAGCTAGTCCCTGTTGTGACAATCACTCAACTTGGAGGTTCACGAGCTAATAGGCATCACCCGCCTAACCCACAAAGGGTGCCGCACAACCAACATAAGATGAGGACACTCAATGTCACGAGCAATGTATTAGAGTCACCTTTTGCGAACTTCCACGGGGAATAGGCGCAAGAACCCCTCACAATCACCAATGGGTGTGGCCAAGAACAATCACCAATCTTGCCAACACTCCTCCGCTGCACTAAGCCGTCTAGGTGGTGGCAACCTCCAAGAGTAACAAGAGAAATCCACAGCGAAACACAATCACCAAGTGCCTCTCGATGCAATCACTCAAGCAATGCACTTGGAATCACTCAATCTCACTTTGATTTGCACTATCAAGCAAGGAGATGAGTGGGAGGGAGTATGCTTAGCTCAAAAGGATATCAAGAATGTCAAAATGCCAAGAGATCTCTCCCAATGTCGGCCAACTTCTATTTATAGATGCCCCAAAGGTTATATACCCGTTGGCCAACTTAAAGTGCTGTCTGCACATCGACTGGACGCGCTGCAGGGTGCACCGGACGCGTCCGGTAACCAGCGTCCGGTCTCCCATTGGATGCCACGTGTCCTAGCCATTGAATGTTACCGTTGGCGCGCAACGGCTCCTTTGCGCACGCTCACTGCACTCACACCGGACGCGTCCAGTCCACTGACCGGACTCGCAACGCCTCAGCGTCCGGTCCAACTCAGAGAGGTTCCAGAGAGTGTTTTTCCCGATCAGACGTGTCCTGTCAGCCTGACCGGACTCGCCCAGCATCCGGTCAATACTCAGCCCTAATTTTAGAGCGCCACATCATCACGACCAGACTCGCCACAGTCACATCCGGTCGGGCTACGCCGCCAGCGTCCGGTTCAACTCAGAGAGCTCCCGGAGCGACCGGACGTATCCGGTCACACGTGACCGGACTCGCGCCAAGTTCGGTCAGTATCCTGCAGACTGACCCGCACCTAGGGTTAGGCACTGGACGCATCCGGTCCCACGGGGACTAGCGTCCGGTCCACCCTAGTGAACCCTCTCTCTTCTTCAATCACTTCACCCTTGCTCCCAAGTGCTAAACAGAAAGTGTATCACCTTTCTGCATGTGTGTTAGCACATTTTCAAAGCATTTTTAAGGGTGTTAGCACTCACTAGAATATAAATGCATATGCAATGAGTTAGAACATCTAGTGGCACTTTGATAACCGCATTTCACAATGAATTTCGCCCATCTTTATAGTACGGCTATCAATCCTAAATACACTCACACCCTCTATGGTGTCTTGAGTGCCAAAAACAAAATGGCCGTATCAATTATACCTTTGTCTTGAGCCCATTTTATTTTTCTCTTTCTTCTTTCTAAGTTGGAGCACTTGAACATCATAGCCGACCACTTAAGAGTTTTGGCCGAGCACACATAGTGCCTTGCCGACCACATGACAGCCTTTGCCGATCACATCAATGCTCCGCTGACCACATCACTTGGTCTTGGACCTAACCTCTCTTGGCTACACACACTTAGCAATTAGGTTACTCCAAATAGGTTTCATCAATTAGCCAAAACCAAACTAGGGCTTTCAACACTGGACCCAATAAAATATTCATTTCCGGCTTTCAAAGAGAGAGAGGAGCTATGAAATGTCCTTTATGTCCCTGTCTCTTTCTTCTTCCCCACTCCCTTTTTTCGTGCACGAGTGGTCGGCGAGCTAGGCGAAGGTGGTGTGGCGTCGGCCACGCCCGCGGCGAGCAGCGAGACATGCTCGCACCGGGAGAGGAGCGACGAGCAGCGAGACGGTGCCCGCGCTCGAGTTAGCAGTGAGGCGCCCATGGCCGGGGAGGCTGCGCCCATGGCAGGGACACAGCATGGCGCAGGCACGGGCATGGGTGCAGGGCCGCACGGGGCACAACATGGACTCCTTCTGCGCGGCATGGGTGTGGGCACGGGTGGCCGGTGAGCTAGGCGAAGGTCCCCATCTGCCCGGGCCCTCCCATGCGGTCCTTGCGCCGCCTCGCTCGGGCTCCTCCAGCCCTGGTCGCTGGCGCGCGTGGGGGGTCTGGACGCCACCGAAATGGGAGGGAAGGACAAGGGCACTGCCACCACTGGCCACCGGCACGTGCGGGGGATTTGGCTGCCACCGCCACCATCGGCATCCTCGCCCGGCTGGCTGGCCGTCGCCGAACAGACTGCCGGCTGGGGGGCGTGGGCCTTGCCGCCGCGCAGGACGAGCAGGCCGCGGGCGTAGGCACCGTCTCGCTGCCCGCCGCTCCTGTCCCGGCGCGAGCATGTTTCGCTGCTTGCCGCGGGCGCTGGCCGAGGCCGCAGCCACACCACCTTCGCCTAGCTCGCCGGCCACCCGTGCCCAAAAAAAAACAGAAAGGGAGTGAGGAAGAAGAAAGGTTCAGGGGCATAAAGGACATTTCACATATCTTCTCTCTCCTCGAAAGCCAGAAATAAATATTTTATTTGGTCCGGTGACCACCAGCAAATTTGACAAGAAACAAAGTATCCACCAGCAAACTGCTCCATTTTTAGTGTGCACCAACAAAGGGAGGTCACTTTTAGTGTCCCGTAGCAAAATTTTCCTATCATCTTTGTACTTGATAGATAAATTAAACATTACAAAGGACACTAACATGGAATAGCACAGGTTCACAAGAAAACATAGAATAGCACAGATGAACACAGTGTAAGAAAATACAATTCGAAAAACTGCAGTATCTACACCATTCCCATAACATAATCAGAGTTATTCTAGTTCTAATTACACAAAAAATGTTTAAAATTTACAAATGCTACAAGAAAAAAGGGGGAAATTGCTGCACTATTGAAGTGTTTATCTACAACACAATGTATCAATCTTGTTACCTAAAAGAAATACTGCTGTGTGGGAAAAGAACATCAGCCAAAGAATTGTTAATTGCTTTAGTTAAATGGTTCCCTCTTTTGTCAATTAACTAGTTATTGTACATCGTCGGCGAAAGCCTTAAAAATGAAGTCCCTGAATCGCTTGCAGTATTGCTTCGGGTCAACAGCTGATATAGAGTTGGGATCATATTGCATAGATTTGTAAGCGTGCTCCAGCTTCTTACTAATATCATAGTCCTGCAGGATGTCAATGATTCCAAAGAACAAGATGACATCCTGGAATTCGCCTGTGGGCTCACCGATGAGCGGAGATTCACTCTCAGGATTCTTCACTACGTTCTCCACCCTTGAGGGCATGCAGATTCCCAGTTTTAATGATCCTTTTCTGCATAAATCACAACTAGTATGTTAGTCATCATAGGTCAATGCTAGGGTGGATGTGATCCTTACACGTTGTTGTCTTGTATTGTTTCATGATATATACAAGCAAGCTACGTTAAATACAGACAAGCTTTCACCGCCCTGCTACGGCTGATAAGCCGACTAATACTGTTTTGTTGTGAGAAAAAAATACTGTACCATGGCTGATAAGTCGGGCTGATAAGTTCAAGCGAACAGGGCGCACGTTTAAAGTAGGGATCAAAGTATATGTTCAGTAGTAAATTGTGATTTGATAAAATCTATTTGAATTTTACCTATTTTCCTCAGAATCTTCAGCAGTATGAGACGTCCCGTTGTCACCATTGCTGCTGTCTGTAACAATCAAATAGATTTTTCAGTCTCCTATCATCAGATATATCTACAACTTTTTTGCAACTCCAAGCATGTGAAAAGCATGCACCGTTTAACTTATCTTTGCATCTGTCCTTGAAGTGAATACCAACCAAAAGACTATAATCCATGATCCTCTCCATCTCCAGTAATTCACAATCTTTGTCCACTTGCCTGTAAAGAGATACAAATCATTAGTGCACGGAATGCTTGGGTTTCTTTTAATTCAGTTGTGATTTTGAAACAATTTTAGGAACATAATTCTCAATTGACAGACTGGCACATCGAACTTCCATCTATAAACTTCTGCACATATGTAGTTATTCCTAAATTGTACTAAATGGAGAAAGCAACAAACATATCCAGTACAATAATTTGTTGTGTCCACCTGCAGAATTCCTCAAACCAAGTTCCTGGTAGCCGGAAAATGAAATTAAGATCAAGATCCTTCAATGTGGTGTGCTCGCTAATTTGATCGATGGGTTTGTCTGTCATGCGACCATGTGAAGATCCTTTCAAATCGAAGCGCCTATGGATTGCATAGCTGGAGCAGAAAAGATTCCCCATTATAACAAACCGGACCTGTAATCCATTTCATGGCTGGTTAGAAATGTTGGATAACTCTGAGGCATCAAATTTAAAATCTGTGAATATTACAAGTTGCTGATCACAGTCTAACCTTTTTCTGGATAGCTCCTGTAAGTTTAACGTTCACACAGTGTAGACCAAAGAATTTAGTTATTAGAGTATTTTCAAAAGAACGGACGTGTTTATAATAGGCTGGAAGCATCCTAAGGAGTACCTGTTCACATAAAAAAACACAAGTTCAATCATATACCCGTAATTAAGTTAACCTTTAAAGTTGTGTGGATGGATCAAATGATCTCACTTTAACTTCTGACTTCTTCATTGTTTTGATCATGTACTTGTCATCATTTGTGAGGTAAAAGAAGCTTCCACTTTTACCAGGCGATGAAAGTTCCCTGAGTGCCTCATCCCCACAAATGGAGATCATGTAGTCTGCCGGATCAACGTCGAAGAGCTTGCGCAAAGTCCTGGAGCAAAGTACACAAGAACAGCTTAGTTTCGTAGTAGAGACAGGGAGCAGCAACAATATGAAATCAGTTACTTCAGCAAAGAAGAAAGAAATCAGCAACATCAATGTTAATAAGCCATACTATAAATCATAAAGACCTGAAAACCAGGGGACAGTAGTCTTTCCACCGAAAATCACATGATTGATGAGGAGGAGTATGCTTTGATCCTTCAGGAGGAAATCTTGTCCAGACCTTCTCTTTTGGATCAAATGCTGATGACTTGAGATCCAGCGTAGTTGGCGCTGACTGCCTTCCGACAGCGTGCCTGTGTGTTGTTCCAGTTTCCAAAATTGAGAAGATGAATGACAATTTCAATTGAATAATTTCAATCAGATTCAGAGATTCAGAAAGCAGCAATGCATCAGATGATCAGAAGCTAATAAATATATAGCGCTCAAACCGCGAAGCACACAATGGCATACACGTCCTAGTAGACAAGAGAAGCAGACTAGAACACTTACACACCTGATGCCAAGCTTGCAGGTTGAGCATGAGCTCGTAGTTCCTGTGCCCCTTGGAGATGGTCTCCCCCTGCTTCTTCCCCGGCCTCGGCGGCGTGCGCATGCACGACGACGTCCGCAGGCACGACCTGTCCGCGCGCGCCTCCTCGCTGTCGCCACCCTCGGCGGCGCCCTGCAGGATGTCCAGGTCCAGCGACGCGCTGCTCCTCCTGCTCACGCTGGACCTCCTTCCTTGGTCAGGGCTCACCTTGGGCGGCCGCCACACCGGCTTCTTCTGCACGGCCTCCACCCCTGGCCATGTCAGGACCTTCTGCGACGGCATCAGCGACGCCGTCTTACCCTCGCACACCTCCAGCTCCTGGAGCAGCGCCGTGATGGGGTCGCAGGGCTCGCGGGGCACGGGCACGGCGGGGCCACCGGACGGCGGGTAGTAGACGCCGTCGGCGTGCACGGCGCCGGCCTCCTCGCACCAGGTGCCGATGTACATCCCGCCGTCAGCCCACCGGAAGGTGCCCTGGCCCTTGGGCCTGGTGTCCTCCCACGCGCCGTCGTAGCGGTCGCCGTCGGCCCAGATAACTGTCCCACAGCCGTGCATGTCGCCGGCCCTCCAGGTGCCGATGTACTCGTGGCCGTGGCGCCAGATGTAGCGGCCGTGGCCGTCCTGCAGGCCGTCGCGCCAGTGGCCGTCGTAGACGTCCCCGTTGGCGTACGCCTGCGTGCCCCGGCCGTGGCGGAGGTTGTTGGCCCAGAGCCCCGCGAAGGTGTCCCCGAACTCGCCGATGTAGGTGCCCTGGCCGTGCATGTACCCGCCGGCGAAGTCGCCCTCGTAGGTGGCGCCGGAGGTCCAGGAGAACTTGCCGCGCCCCGACGCGCGGCCGCGGCGCCAGGCTCCCTCGTACATGCTGCCGTCGGTCCAGAGGAACTTGCCCGCGCCGTGCGGGAGGTCCCCGCGCAGGTCGCCCTGGTAGAAGTCCCCGCTGGGCAGCAGCTGCTCCGCTTGCGTGGGCTCGCCGAGCTCCGCGGCGTCCTCCTCCTCGTCGGCGCCGTCCGAGTCGTTGCCGCCGTCGGTGCTGGTGTCGCTGTCCTCGCCATCCTCGTGGTGGTACTGGTAGATGGTGCTGGACGCGGAGGAGCTGACGTGGAGGAGGCTGGGCATCGTGAGGGCGGCGGCGACCGCGCCATCGGCGCCGTCGGGGACCGGCCCCGCGGTCGTCGCCGCGCGGCGGATGGTCTGGAGCTTGCGGATGCTCGCCTCCCACAGCCGGCTGGCCGGGGCAGGGAGCTGGCTCATCTTCCTCGCCGACGTCGCCACGTTGGCGTCGTTTGGTATGTACTCTCGATCAGTAGTCTCGCAAGTACGTCTCAGCACGACGACCGGGCCGGGGCGAGCCTGTGCATGCTGGCGGTGGGCGGGCGGGAGCTGGAGCGGGACGGGGCGAGGCAATGGCGGTGCGCTTGCCTTGGGTTACGAGTTCTGCGCTCTGGATGGTTGGAGGCTGGGAGGAGTTGTCGGGGTGGGAGGCTGCCGAGGAGAGCTCGGGAGCGCAACATTTGGAGGGAAGCGGAGGCAGCGCCTCGGCCGTTGAGTTAAGGCATTCTGCTGGCCTGGCATAGTAAATAGGACTGCATGCCACCATTGCTGATTTCTCTCCTCCTCCAAGCTTTCTCCAGGCCAACAAATCATACCTTTCAATTCTTTTTTTTTTGTTTGAAAAATTGTACTACTTTTCAATTCTTTTCATGGCACAGCAAAGGTATCACTGTATCAGTTGCTGTCCCCAAGACCAGCAGCTCGTTGACCTGAGCTTTGGGGTTAGCCCTGTGCAAAACGCAGGTCAAACAGCTCCTTTTTTTTAGGCCAGGCTACGCGGCTACAGTGTGTTTGTGGCATTTGTCTTGTCCATGGGCATTGCCGGAACCAGAAGCCTAGGTAGGTGAGGTCTATTCAAAATCACATGTCTCTGAGATGGTCCGGTTGTGATGCTACCAAGGCGAGAACCATAAAACTGAAATCTTTATTAAGATACCGAGACAATGTGACAAACAATATCACTTTACTGATCACAGAAAAACAGAGACCTCTGACTTGGCTCCAAAATGTTCACGTACACTGGATGGAATGTTACCGGTAAGAGCATCATGATTAAAACGATTTGACCATTCTACTGGCCTTCGTTTGTTTACTTGAATAATACGCAGAAAAACTGCACATGTTTGTGTTAAAAAAAAGAGATTATATCAGAACACAAGCATAGGAGCAGCCCTCGTTAGATTTTTGTTGCATATGTGAAAATAGAACAAACTCGACCCGAGCAGGGTAAAGACAACCTCTAGGCATTTTACTAAGAAGACCTTCTCATATTGGGGGACAAGAAGAGACAACCCCGGACATAAGCATGGGACACCAGATCACTTCATATGGCAGAAATTGCTATGGAATCATATGGACCTATATTTTACTCTTTTATATATATAGTTTCATTATCAATCTAGATATATCATATATTTAGGTGCTAATAAAAACCTGTGTATCTAAAAAAAACTAAAATGACTTAAAATTTGTGACGGGGACAAGTATATTATATGAACTTATTGAGTATGTATTGTAAAATTTTTGAACCACACAAGAACATGCTTCAGTAAATATGGGGTACTATTCTTAGTATTATACCAGAAGAAACAATGCATGCTTAAAGGCCCAGTAAGTCAGAACAATCTTAAATCATATTAACCAGCTTCAGCCTTTCATTACAAAGCCAAACAATTGTCTACAACAAGAGGTATATCCAGCTTTCATCGTTGAAGGCTTCATAAGAGTAGTTCTCCCATCGTTGAGAAGATAGTGTGATTGTGTGAACCCTAGGACTCAACAGCCAGTGATGTGATATAGGAAATGAGGTCAGCACCAGTGCATTACTGGGCCCATTAAACCCCTGAGGCCAACTGAAGTGTTAGTTTAGATTTGCCATTTCAAATCTAGATCTTCCTAGTAGAATTGGAAGTGCTCCATGGTACCTTCTTTTTTTTTGAAAGGAACTGGAGGGGTTTGCACCCCTACAGCAATGTTAATTAATTAAAGCCAAAAGTTTGGGAGTACAGATAAACAAAGCAAAGCAAAACAGGGGCATAGGGGCACACCGGCCTAAGAGACAAGAAAGGTTACAAGAAAGATCAGTGCAAGCACTGCTAGAAATCTAGCTAAGCTAGATTTGCAATCCATTGTTCAATCCAAGGGAAGTATCTTCTTTTCGCCCTTAGAAGCAAGAGCTGAAATTCACCTCTGAAATTGTTCTTAGTCAGCTGGATGGTTGGGTTTTCCTGTCTAAAGATTAGATCATTCCACACCTTCCAAATTGCCCAGTACAACAAAATTATTATTTCCATGAAGAAGGGTACCCCTAACTGATCTTTGAAGCTCTGTAGATTCTGAAAAGGATTCAACTGTGGACTGATCTAAATATTTATCATTGCCCCGCATTGCACAGCAAATGGGCATTCCAAAAACAAGTGATTCAGTGATTCATCCACATTAGCATTGCAAAGGACACAAATATAATCTTGTAAGAACATTCTCTTCCTTCTGAGCAGCTCTCTAGTACTTAGACGGTCTTTCAGTAGGAGCCAGAAAAAAACTTTGTGCTTACTCTAACAAGAACAGGCCCAGAGACAACTGAAGACAGGGTGGACGTTCATGTGTCCACTTAGGTGTTTATATGATTTCTTCACCGAGTAATTACTTGAGTTCCAAATGTACAACCATCTATCTGAGTTCTCATTAATCATGACTTGAGCCAGCATCTGCTGAAGCTGTAGCATCTGATCATGTGCCTGTTTTGACAGAGGAAGGTGGAATAAGCTATGCAATGGTGTGTGGTCATGACCTTCAGCAAACACAATGTTCTTTTTCTTGGCAAATGAAAACAACTCAGGAAATTTTTGGGAGAGGACTTCATTACCCCACATGTCCTGCCAAAGAAAGCAAGACCTTCCACAATTGACCTCAACTCTTGCCATACCTTTGAATTTATCAAGAAGTTTCAGAATGTCCCTCCACCAGAAGGAACCCTTTTTTAGTACTCCCAGGCAACTTCCTAGAATCATAGTACTTTTGCCAAACTAATGATACCTAGGGAGTATTATCTCTATTGAAGAATTTGTGAAGATGCTTGATCAGTAAAGCTTCATTTTGAGTTTTAATACTCAAGACTCCCAGCCCACCTTCATCTTTTTCTCTGCAGACTGAAGGCCAAGCTGCTTTTGGTTTCTGTTTTGCATTAATGTCAACCCCTCTCCAGAGACACAACTTTCTAAATTTGTCAATTTGCTCAATGACTGACTGCTGCAGTAGAAATGTACTCATACAGAAGGTTGGCATTGCAGTCAAGATTGAATTGGTCACCTCAAGCCTGCCTGCCTGATTTAGAAAAATAGAGGTTGCCGCTAACCTCCTCTCACACTTGGAGACTAGAGGAGAGAAATCAATTATTCTGGGCTTTGTGAGGCTCAGGGGCAACCCCAAATAGGTAAATGGTAGGCTTCCAATTTCACGGACAAAGGTTCTTGCAAGATGTTGTAGTCTTGGATGGCTTGTATTAATAGGCACCATGAAAGATTTTGAATAATTCACCTTAAGACCAGTTGACTCACCAAAGGTGTGAAGAAGACCTTTGAGAGCTAGAAGTTGTCTGCTGCAAGCTTCCATCACCAAAAGGGTGTCATCAGCATATTGTATAATTGGGAAATCATTAGTGTATCTCAATGGAATTGGCAATTTCAAAAGCCCTTGATCTTTGGCCTTATTGATCACTGACTGCAAGAGATCAGCAGTGAGCACAAACAGCAAAGGGGACAGAGGGTCCCCTGTCTAACACCCCTTTTACAATGGAACACTTTACCAGGAACTCCATTAAGTAACACTGATGAAGTGCCAGAGTTCAATATTGACTTCACCCAACCAATCCATTTCTGACCAAATCTCTTGGCCTTGAGAATCTCCAATATTGCATTATGTTCAATCTTGTCAAAGGCTTTTTCAAAGTCAAGCTTTAGTATGATTCAATCCCTCTTGGATTTGTTGCACACATGGAGATATTCAAGTGCCCAAGCCAAACAATCTTGAATGGTCCTATTTTTTATGAAGCCATACTGGTTCTGGTGAATGAGGCTCTTGATAGGCTACTGTAATCTATTTGCCATTAGCTTAGTTAACAACTTCACAGAGGAATTGAGCAAGGAGATTGGTCTGTAGTCAGACCATCTTTTTTTGGGATTAGCACAATGAAAGAATTATTGGTGTTCCTCAGACATACTTCCCCCTTGTGAAATTCATCACAGAGCCTATAAAAATCTGGTGCAATAAGGGACCAACATCCCTTTATAAATTCATTGATGTATCCATCTGGGCCAGGAGATTTGTTATTTGGTAAGTTATCCACCACTGTATCATTTTCAGTCTTGGAGAAGGGCATTTCCAAGTTCTTAAGTCCCACAGCTGGCTGCATGAACTGTTCTAGGTTGAAGATCATTTGATTAGATTTAGATTGGCCCATTCTTTCTCTGAAAGAGTTCCAAACAAGCTCAGCTTTTGGCTCATGCCCATGGAGTGTATTTCCCATGGAGTCTTTTAGAGTGGTGATGCTATTCTTGCTGTGCCTGATTGTTGCATGGGCATGAAAGAATTTTGTGCCTGCATCACCCTCCTTCACCCATCTTATTTTTCCTCTCTGCTTCCAGTAAGCTCTTTGTTGCTTCAACAAGTAAACCAGCTTTTCAGAGATTAAATTTCTAAAATTCCATTCAGGTAGAAAGAGATCCCTAAACAGCTCAATGGTTTCCAAAAAATGCAGCACAAGCTTAATTTTCTCAATGGCTAGGGACAGTTTTGGCAGTTTTAGTTTCCAATCCCTGAGCACTCTTCTTAGGTTCTTAAATTTGGTAGTTAGGAGTTTGGCAAGATCAGAGATATAACTTGGACCATTCCATCCACTGACTACTGTAGGAATGAAATCTTCATGATTAAGCCAAAAATTCTGAAATCTGAACAGCTTATTCTAAGGAATTGTTGTGCTGATTTCAACCATGCAAGGCCAGTGGTCAGATGTTTCCATGACCAAAGTTTTGACTAAAGTATTTGGGAACTTGGAAGTCCAGGAGGTTGAGGTGAAGAACCAGTCCAATCTTTTCAAGAGGGGGGAATTGCTTATTTGTCTAAGTAAACTACCTCCCACGTAGTGGGAGCTCAATCAAACCCAGATTATTGATTGCTTCATTGAACAAAAACATTTCATTGGG